GAGCTTTGTAATGTTGTGAACAACCAATAAAAAAAATGGGAAAAAAAAGAGAGAGACAGGGGAAACAAAAAAAAATAATAAAGTTATGATAGGGATTATGTTAAATCTACAGATCAATTTGAGTAGATTTAACATCTCAATAATGACTGATGAGGTACTGGCCAGAACTCAGGGGATCATAAGTGCACAGATGTACATTTATGTGCATAAAGATAGAAGGAGCATAACAAAGATGAGTTATAAGGTAAAGAGGCAATGCTTTGAAGTTAGCCTTGGCAACTATTTCTTGAATATGACACCAAAAACACTAGTAACAACAACACAAAAATAAACAAGTAGGATTATATCAACTAAAAAAAATCTTCTGCACAGCAATGAAAACAACCAACAAAATGAAAAGACAATTTTCAGAACGGGAGAAATAATTTACAAATCATACATCTGATAAAGCCTTAATATCTAACATGCACAAGGAACTCTCACAACTCAATCGTAAAAGTCTTTTAGAAGTGTTTTTAAAAAGTAAGCAATTAAAAAAATGGGCAAAGAACCTGAGTAGACATTTTCCAGAGAATATATACAAATAGGCAACAGGCACATGAAAGGTGCTAAATATTTTTAATCACCAGGGAAATGCAAATAAAAACCACAATGAGATGTGATCTCACACCTGTTAGGATGGCTGGTATCAAAAAGAAAAAAGACAACAAATATTGGAAGATGCAGAAAAAATGGAACCCTTACACACTGCATTGGGAACATAAGTTGATACAGCCACTTTGGAAAACAGTAAGAGATTTTTTGTTGGTTTCTGTTTTTAAATATTGTTTTAATTGTAGTTGGACACAATACCTTTATTTTTTTTACTTATTTTTTAGTTGCAGTTGGACACAATACCTTTGTTTTATTTATTTATTTTTAGGTGGTGCTGGGATCGAACTCAGAGGCTCATGCACACTAGGTGAACGCTCTACCACTGAGCCACAACCCCAGCCCCCAGTAAGAGGTTCTTTAAAAAAAAAAAAAATAGAACCACTATATGATCCATCAATGTCACTATTGGGTACAACTCCAGAGGAAACAAACTCAGTACCTCGAAAAGATATCCACACTCTGGTGTTCATTGCAGCCTTATTCACAATAACCAATTTGTGGAAATAACTTGTTCATCAACAGATAAATGGATAAAGAGAAGTGGTGTATGCATTTGTATGTGTGCATATTATTTAGCCCATAAAGAAAAGAAAAAAAGGAGGGAATCCTGCCATTTGCAACACTTGGGTAAACCCACAGGGTGCTATGCTAACTGAAATCAGCCAGATGCAGAAAGAAATACTGCATGGTATCATATGTGAATTCTTTAAAAAAAAAAAACTCATGGAAATAGAGTAGAATGGGTTGGCAGGGGCTGAGGGTGGAGGAGTTGGAAAGATGTTAGTCAAAAGGTACAAACTTTTCCAGTTATAAGATGAATAAATTCTGACAATGTGAAGTACAGCAGAGTAAGTGTAGTTTCAAGTGCTTTATAATGGAAATTTTCCAAGAGTGGATCTTAAGCATTAAGTAACATCTTAAGATCTTGACCAAAAAAAAAAAAAGAAAGAAAAGAAAAGAAATACAGAAATGAAAGAAGAAAGATAACTATATTAAATAATGGATGCGTTGATTTCATTACACACACACACACACACACACACACGTCAGATCATCACTTAGTACATTTTAAATATATACAATTTTGTCAATTATACCTCAATAAAGCTGGAAAAAAGTGAGAGGAGAAAGGGTCTTGGACAAGCCTTGTGGTTTAAAATGTAAAATTCCTTCAAAAGAGTCTATAGAACACAAAATGAAATACACATTTTGTCAACTTTGTTTTACAAAATGAAAACAAGGGACACCCCAGCATAAGAGGGGACTAGCCAGTGTTTAATACCCATTTCACGTTAGAACGGTGCCTTTGAAAACGTAAAGCCTTGGGCCTCTGCACAGCAAAGAAAACAATCAACGGAGTGAAAAGACAGAACTTCCATTGGGTCCTAGAGAAGCAAGGCCTAATTTGGACGAGGCAATATGCAGCACGAAAGCAATTAAGTTCAGCAGCCACAAACATAAATGGGAATGCTGTTTTCCTTCTGAGGAGTACAAACACAGCTCTTAAAATCAAGACCAAGCACACGCTGACGGATGCTTTTAAATTTCTTGAGTTCTCGTCTGAGAGCAGGAATGAATGGTCTAAAGGAGACAAACTTGTCCAGTATGACCCCTGGGGAGGGACGAGACATTTACTTGTATGTGAGCTACTTCAG